TGCTGTTTGTAGCTCTTTCAGCATCCCTTTTTCGTCGACCAGATTTGCTGTTGATCAAAGGTTTGCTGCAAGCTTTCGCCTTTCTGGATTTTTGGGCGTTTTGGCGTGGTTTTACCGGAAGAGTGTCTCTGCGAGGCCATGAGCGCTGGGTGGTGGCACCAAGACGTAATGATTTTGGTGGCGCTCCCAAGAGTCTCGTTTTCGCGGAGGACTGCACCTTGAAGCCAGCCAGCAGTTTTCTAATCTGGCGAATTTTATGTGGCTTGTTTGGCTGAAGTCGCTCTTCTTTTGTGTTTGTGTGAACACGCGATCCGCCGGCGATCAGCGTGGCCAACTGGATGTACGAGAGATTTTCCGGATGGATGTAGTCCTGTTTATGGCTTTGGTTGTCGGGGTCCTGGGCGACGGTTGTGTCTACAAGCAGAGAGGCCGCTTTTGACAGAGTGGAGCTGGAGATTGGCTTCGCTGCTTGTCCCCGCACATCTGACTCAGTCCAGTTCAGAGGCTATGACTTTGTTGAGGAGTGCATGGCTGCAGCTGTGTCCTCTGTTACGGAGATGAGCGTTGAACGCTCCATGTAGTTTGGGGCTGCTTACATGTAAGGTTTGCCTCCTCCAGGGCATCCCTGCCTTTGGTGGGCGAGAGGCCTGTGGTGATCGAATAAAAACTGCTGTCCGGAGACGCAGCTGGTTTCGTCGGCCTGCTTTCGGGAGCACAAGGGGATATGACCACAATCGGCTTGGTCATGAGTTTGGGGTCGGCTGAATTGGTGCCCAGCGGAAGCCTGTTTCGTGCTTTCACCCCTGACCTGCTGTGTCCAAGCTTTCGCGCGTCTAGAGGGCGATCCTTAGTTAGGTGCCTGATCATTGGGCTGGCCTTTTGAATGCTGCCAGCCCGCTCCAAGATCTTCTGTACTTCAGATGGGGAAGAAAGAGTGACTAGAAGTCCAAGAGTTCGCTTGCTTCCCTTCTGGCGTAGCCATTCCGCGTGGAGCGATTGATCAGGCTTGGTGAGGACATTGCTAAGGGTCGATTGTGCCAGCTTCGCTGGCGTGATTTTTCCGGAGAACGACCCCCCAGATTATCAATCTGTTTTCCCTTAGGCACCTGTCCACTAGAGACGCTGTGGCGGTCTTTATAGCCGCGTCAGAGAGTTGTATGACTTTCTTCGCAGCCAGAGGACCCGGTATGGATATCGCGAGATACTCGTTCGGCGAAGAAAGTTCCTTGTCAACTTTCGTCCAAGTCGCTGCATTCTTAGTGTCTGAATCCTCCAGTGCCTTAGAAAGGCGCTCCAATTTCGCGTCGAGTATCCCGATCAAAGTGGAACACTCACATCGGTCTTTCTGAATCTGCAGTGGGGATTGGGTACCGTTTTTGGGGGTTCTCTTCTTGGCTGCGGAATGCATTGCACCCTTAACGTAGAGGCAGCTGGCGCAGACAGACGGTTGAGTTAAGTTAGCTAGTCGGCTTACCTGGTCGTCCTCTAAACCCGTGCATTTGAAATGCCACCAGGCCTTGCAGGCGTGGCATTGCGCGCTTGACG